CCCCAGCAGGCCTCGAAACTGGCGACAGCTTCACAGATCGCAGCCCCCAGAGATGGCGAGGTCTAATTCGAATCTGCCGCGATTACCCTCTATGCAGGACCCCCCAGCAGGCCTCGAAAGTGGCGACAGTTTCACAGATCGCAGCCCCCCAGGGATAGCGAGGTCTAATATGAATCTGCCGCAATTACCCTTTATGCCGGACCCCCCAGCAGGCCTCGAAAGTGGCGACAGTTTCACAAATCACAACCCCCCAGAGATGGCGAGGTCTAGTTTGAATCTGCCGCGATTAACTTATGCTGGACCCCCCAGCAGGCCTCGAAAGTGGCGACAGTTTCACAGATCGCAGCCCCAGGGATGGCGAGGTCTAATTTGAATCTGCCGCGATTACCCTCTATGCCGGACCCCCCAGCAGGCCTCGAAAGTGGCGACAGTTTCACAGATCGCATCCCCCCAGGGATGGCGAGGTCTAATTTGAATCTGCCGCGATTACCCTCTATGCTGGACCCCCCAGCAGGCCTCGAAAGTGGCGACAGTTTCACAGATCGCAGCCCCCCAGGGAGGGCGAGGTCTAATTTGGATCTGCCGCGATTACCCTCTATGCTGGACCCCCCAGCAGGCCTCGAAAGTGGCGACAGTTTCACAGATCGCAGCCCCCCCCCCCCCAGGGATGGCGAGGTCTAATTTGAATCTGCCGCGATTACCCTCTATGCTGAGCCCCCCAGCAGGCCTCGAAAGTGGCGACAGTTTCACAGATCGCAGCCCCCCAGGAATGGCGAGGTCTAATTTGGGTCCGCGCGTCGCCCTCACTGTGCTGGGCCCCCCAGCAGGCCTCGAAAGTGGCGACAGTTTCACAGATCGCAGCCCCCCGCAGGCAAGACAGAAAGAGGCAGGAAAGAGGCGGGAGGCGGGAGGAGGAAGGACGCGACCACACTGCTCTATTCAAAACGAATACCCAACCAAGGAGGGTTGGGAAAAATTAAATACATTTGAATCTTCAGATTTTTTGTTTTATCCTCCTTTCCTCTCCTCTTCTACTTCTCCTCCTCATTTATTATTGTCCTCTTCCTTTTTAATATTTATTTTATGTATTTCCCTCAACTCTCTCTTTGTTTTCTGTATTTCTATCTTTATATCTTTCTCTCTCCCCATGCGCACCTGAACTTGTTTATCCCTGGGGTTGATTATCCACGGAAAGTGAGGCACATGAGCTCCTACACGAGCACTTTTAATATATATATATATATATATATATATAAATATATATATACCCTGGCGACGTACCCAACCCCTGCGCAAAAGCGGGGCGCAAATAGTTTAGGATACTTTATAAGGGGACGATGACGGAGCGAGGGTTACATATGTCTGCAGACGGAATTCGGGAGACTCGCAGGACACTGGCTACAGGAAAAGGGCTTGATAAAGCTGATGATTTACAATTCCTGAGCACTCCTAGCCACTTCGAAAACGGGGATCACAGCAGGCCTCGAAAGTGGCGACAGGTTCACAGATCGCAGCCCCGCAGGGACGGCGAGGTCTCATTTGAATCTGCCCGTGGCCCTCACTGTGCTGGGCCCCCCAGCAGGCCTCGAAAATGGCGGCAGTTTCGCAGATCGCAGCCCCCCAGGGATGGCGAGGTCTAATTTGAATCCGCGCGTGGCCCTCACTGTGCTGGCCCCCCCAGCAGGCCTCGAAAGTGGCGACAGTTTCACAGATCGCAGCCCCCCAGGAATGGCGAGGTCTAATGTGGATCTGCCGCGATTACCCTCTATGCTGGACCCCCCAGCAGGCCTCGAAACTGGCGACAGTTTCACAGCCCCCCGCAGGCAAGACAGAAAGAGGCAGGAAAGAGGCGGGAGGCGGGAGGAGGAAGGACGCGACCACACTGCTCTATTCAAAACGAATACCCAACCAAGGAGGGTTGGGGGGAAAAAAAAAGGCGTTTGTAGATAAACTATAAAAGATTTGGAACTTGAAATGTTTGCTTTTCCTCTTCCTCTCCTCTTCTACTTCTCCTCTTGAATGTTTCTTCTCCTCTTCATTTTCATTATTTCTTCTCTCTCTCGTTCTATCTCTCTGTCTCTCTCCCCCCCATGCCCCCCTGAACTTGTTTATCCCTGGGGTTGATTATCCATGGAAAAGCTGATAGGTTTTGTATTATTTCCTCTCTGTCTTTTTTCTCTCTCTGTTTCTCTATCTCTCTCTCATCTTGCTCCTCTCCTGTCTTTTCCTTTCCTCTCCTCCTCTCCTTCCTCTATTGCTTTCCATTATCTCCTCTTATTCTCTCTCTCTCTCTCTCTCTCTCTCTCTCTCTCTCTTTCTCAATTTTCATAAAGCGCTTCTAAGTAAAATCTGATGGATTTGAAACTTGATTTTTTTTTTCTGTTCCTCCTCCTCCTCGATCTGTCTTTATTGATATATATCTTCTCTTCTTCTGATTCTTATTATTCTTCCTCTTTATTATAAGATTTTTTTTGTTTTTTTTATTTGTCTGCGAAATGTGTTGTATCTTTTTTTAATATAGTTATTTTTATCTTCTTTTGTTTTCCTTCTCTCTCTCTCTCTCTCTCTCTCTCTCTCTCTCTCAGCACAACCCCCCAGCACAACCCTCCAGCACAACCCTCCAGCACAACCCTCCAGCACAACCCTCCAGCACAACCCTCCAGCACAACCCTCCAGCACAACCCTCCAGCACAACCCTGCAGCACAACCCCTCAGCACAACCTCTTGAGGTTTATTATCGTCGGCAATTTTTTATCATCGGCAGTGGTCGATAGCAACTCCTGAGCTCTCCGGGAACACGGCGGCACGCAAATGATACGCATGGTTTTGAAAAACTTCATTTTGAAAAAAAAATATTTTATTTAATTGCGAATTCCATTGAAATCTTTTCGAATTTGCGAAATCGAGCCGTCAGGCGCTTGAATGCCGCACTGCGTTCGAGATTTAGGCGAAAGCGTGTGCGACGCAATGTTCTCATGACACGCATTTTTTGAAAAACCTCATTTTGACAAAAAATACTAAATTTGGTTGCGAATTCCTTTGAAATCCTTTCGAAATTGCGAATTCGAACCCGCACGCGCCTGAATGCCACACTGCGTTCGATATTCGGGCAAAAGCGCGTGCGACGCAAATTTCTCATAAATGCGTCGCGTGCTTAAATCTCGAACGCAATGTGGCATTCAAGCGCCTGACGGCTCGATTTCGCAATTTTGAAAGGATTACAATGGAATTCGCAATTAAAAAAAAAAATTCAAAATAAAGTTTTTTCAAAAAAATGCGTATGATTTGCGTGCCGCCGTCTTCCGGGAGAGCTCAGGAGTTGCGATTGACCACTGCCGATGATAAAAAACTGCCGACGATAATAAACCTCAGCCGATGATAAAAAACTGCCAACGATAATAAACCTCAGAGGAGCGCACGGCGGGAGAGAGAGAGAGAGAGTCTCACCTCTCTCTCTCTCTCTCTCTCTCTCCCTCCCTCTCTCCTCTTTCTCTCACTATCTCTCTCTGCTCAAGGTGAGCTGCTGAAGCAGAGCTGCTCAAGCAGATGGCTGCTCAGAGAGCAGAACCAGACAATGAGACTTTCGAGGATAAAAAACACAATTATTTCGAGGATGTCTCAAGCGAAATAAGCAATAGTTTGACGGTGTCTCAAGCGAAATAAGCAATAGTTTCAGGATGTCTCAAGCGAAATACGCAATAGTTTCAGGATGTTCAGGCGAAATCAGCAATAGTTTGATGATGTTTCAAGCGAAAAACACACAATTATTTCGAGGATGTCTCAAGCGAAATAAGCAATAGTTTGACGGTGTCTCGAGCGAAATAAGCAATAGTTTGTGGATGTCTCAAGCGAAACAAGGGATTTGTCGAGGATGTTTCCAGCGAGATAGGCCATTGTTGAGGATATTTTAATGAAGACTAAACGCCAAGGATGTCTCAAAACGTGCTCGGTTTGGTCTCCTCTTGATCATCTCTTACTTCGAGATTATGCTGAGGTCTGGTGGGCTACTTTGATTATCTCCCCCTGAACCCCGAACTTTATTATCCCCTAGTGTTTATTCTCGTGAGCATGGGGTTACCATGGCTGCTGTGCTGCAATCGCGTAGACTCCCATCAACAGTTTACGTGACACTTCCTAGGAGCAAGCTGCTTGATGCAAGCCATAGGCTACCACAGGTATGGAGGGCGCTACAATGCTTAGGAAACCAACGTACCGGAAGGGCGCAAACCAAAAATAGAGCGCCAACCGTATAACATCAATCATACGACGGTTGATAGTATGTGGTTTGGTCGCGTATGGCTGCTTGGTCTCCAATGGTGTGGCCCCGAATGGGTCCCTCTAGCGTGGCGGATATACTTCCAATAAACAACGTGTTGGAGTCCGCGAGGTGGCACAATTAGAACTGAATGAAGCGAACTTTGTGCAGCTCCGACAGCTAGAAGGAGCATGGAAGGGGGAGCCTATTCAAAACCGGGGCTTCGCCCGAATGGCAAGTTAATGTGGCGCTCGTCTGTCGACGGAGCGATTCCTGCAGTGAGCAGAAATGCCTATGGGGAGGGGACTTGGAGCGGGAGCGTAAGTGGCAGCATCATTGAAACATATTGGGTTTGACATGGTCCTCCTCCTCATCATCCCTCTTCTCATCTCCTCACTCAGGCTACTACTCCTCCCCCTGCATCCTCCTGCCCCTGTGGTCCAAACCTCCTGCTCCCCCTCCTCATCCTCCTCCTCAACCATTTCCTGGTCCTCCTCCTCCTCCTCCTCATCATCATCATCACTCCTCACCTATCACTCCTTATTCCTCACTCATCGCCCCTGCCTCATCCTCCTCCCCTCCGTAAGCTCCCAGAAACCTCCCCGAAAACGTGAACAGCCTCAGAAGGCCGCTGAAGACCTCGGCAATTGCGTTGTACACATCCGAAGACGATCTGAAATCTCCAGAGGGCTCCTCCCCCCAGGGAGCACGCCTCTTCGCCCCCTGGCCACCCCGCGGCGAGAACCCTCGAGGCGGAACCCCTCGCAGGCCGTGTTGGTGAGCCCGTCGACGATGCTCTGCCGCATGGCGGCGGAGCGCGACTTGCCCTGCCACCCCGCCTGGGGCCATCGCGCCGGGAGGGGGGGGGGTGCGTGAGGAGGAGGAGGAGGAGGAGGAGAAGGACGACTACAAGGCCTCGCCCATCTCCTCCTCCTCCTTCTTCTCCTGCCCCCCTCCCTTATCCTCCTCCTCCTCCTCATCATCCTCCTCCTCCTCCTCCTCCATCCTCCTGCTCGTCCTCATCCTCCTCCTCCTCCTCCTCCTCCCCCTCCTCCTCCTCCTCCTCCTCCTCCTCCTCCCCCTCCTCATCCTCATCCTCCTCCTCTTTCCCCTGCCCACTTTCCCCTCCTCCTCCTCCTCATCATCAGATTCTTCGTTTTCTTACTATTATTCTTACTATTGACCTTATAAACATCTTTAGCATTTGTAATGCGATTCGTTTTCTTAGTTGTCATATAATGATTATGATACGTCTTCATATTACTCTTCTTCTTTTTCCTACCAAATTGATATGATTGTTCTTCCTCCTCCTCCTTCTTCTCCCCCCCTCCTCTCCCTCCTCCTCCTCCTCCTCCTCCTCCTCCTCCTCCTCCTCCTCCTCCTCCTCCTCCTCCTCCTCTTTTCCTTCCTCGTCGTATTCATCCTCCTTCTCTTCCTCCTCCATTTCTTTTTCCTTATGAACAATTTCCCCCTGTCTCACCCGAGGCCAGTTTTTAGGGCGGGCCAGGCGTTTCGCCTGAGATTCCCTCACTGACTCTGAAGCTTAAAACTTGGCAACAAATTCATAGATGGAGGGCGGGTCGTTTTCAAAATGTGGTTCTCGCCTTAGCGCAGCACACATTCGTTTTTAAAAAATGCAAGAGCTTCACGGATTGAGGGCGGTGGTTTTCAAAATGTGGCTCTTGCCTGAGCGCAGCACACACTCGTTTAAAAAATGCAAGAGCTTCACGGATTGAGGGCGGGTGGCTTTCAAAATGTGGCTCTCGCCTTAGCGCAGCGCACATTCGTTTAAAAAATGCAAGAGCTTCACGGATTGAGGGCGGGCGGTTTTCAGAAGTGTGGCTCTCGCTTTAGCGCCGTGCACATTTGTAGTAAAACATGTGCAAAAAATCACGTATTGAGGGCGGGTGGTTTTTTAATGTGGCTCTCGCCTTAGCGCGGCGCACATGTGTTGTAAGAAGTTGCAAGAGCTTCGCGGATTGAGGGCGGTTCCTTTTCAAAATGTGGCTCTCGCTTTGGCGCGGTGCACGTGTGTAGTAAAACATTGCAAGAGTGTCACGGCTTCCCATCATCAACGTGTGAGAAATGGTGTTTTAAATGGATTCAGGATTATGCGGGCGCAACAGTTATGTTGATCCGCTGTGTTGAAGTCCCAGGAATGGCGTTCTGGCACGATTCTGGATTGTCGAGACGCAACAGTCAGGTTGATCCGTGGCGCTGGCATCCCGAGATCAATGTTTTGACATACTCCAGGGTCTTCAAACGGTTGTATTCCAAAGAGGCAGCGTTGATGACTCTTGGGTTTACACTGGTCCTCCTCCTCCTCTTCCTCCTCCTCCTCCTCATCCTCCTCCTCTTCGTCCTCCCCCTCATCATCATCATCATCATCATCATCATCATCATCATCATCATCATCATCATCATCATCATCATCATCATCATCATCATCATCATCATCATCATCATCAGTAGCATCAGCATCATCAGCATCATCAGCATCATCAGCATCATCCTCATCATCATAATCATCAGCATCAGCATCAGCATCAGCATCATCATCGTCGTCCTCCTCCTCCTCCTCTCCTCCTCCTCCTCCTCATCCTCCTCCTCCTCCTATTCCTCCTCCTACTCCTCCTCCGCGCCGCGTACCTTGGGCAGTGGCGTAGAGCCACCGGCTGACGGCCCGGCGACTAAATCTCCATGGCGGATGGATTTATGGCGGGCACCGTCGTCGTCATCGTCGTCGTCGTCGTCGTGCTCGTCCTCGTCCTCGTCCTCGTCCTCGTCCTAGTCGTCGTCGTCGTCGTCAGGGTCGCGGTGTGGAACGCCGCTCTCATGCACGACAGGCGGCCGGTGCCGCGGGCGGGGTCGTCGAGGCGGCGTTGTCTTCGCAGTATTCGTCGCTTGCGCTCTCGATGTCCACCTGGCGTCCACAGGGCGCTCGCAGTGGCAGCGTCCACATGGAACAGGAAGACTGGCACGAAGACGCGGAGGGAGACCGCGCTGTCGGGGTAGTGCGGGAGCGCACCGTACATGCGGAGCAGCAGCGTCGGGCAGCTCGCTGGAGGTCGAACAGGCGCGTCTCCTCCCGCCTCCCCTCCGTGCAGGGTGGCTCGGGACACCCAAGGTAGGAGGGCCGTCGACCCCCTGTTTGCGAGGGGGCCCGTAGGCTGAGGAGCAGCTTAGGAGGACGCCGTACACAGTAGACATGTAGCTTCGCTTGGCATACGCGAGCGCGCAGTCGTTCTGGACTCTCGACGGCGATCGATGGAGACGAGCCCCAGGACGATAAAGAAGGCTGGGGCACAGTCGAGGCGACCCCCTTGCGCTTGCCGCGTACCTTGGGCAGTGGCGTAGAGCCACCTGCTGACGGCCCGCTGACTGAATCTCCATGGCGGAGGGGTATATGGCGGGCACCGTCGTCGTCGTCGTCGTCGTCAAGTGCGCAGCGCGGGGGCACGCACGCACACGCGGTCATGTGCAGTCCTGGCGGCGCCTTCGTCGTCGTCGTCGTCGCAGGGAGTCCATTGCTGGACAAGGAACGGGGTACAGTCGAACCTAGGACAGAAGAACATCCCTCAAGAACACGAGACCCTCCGCCGGCCAAAGCAAACAGAACATCCAAGGGTGCCCTCCACAGTATGCACACGAACATCCAACGAACACAAAGCATACGAGGCTACCCTCCCCGAACCGACCTCGACCTTTTACCTCGGTCCGACTGCACAGGAAGGCCACGAGCTGGGCGGCGACGCCAACAGGGGCAAGCCAAGCTCGGGGGACCGCAGCGGCGGGCTGTGGCAGCCGCTGGCGGCGGCCAGCTGGGGTCCCCGCGTACTGGCGGCCAGGGTCGCGTCAGGGGGGGGGCACCCAACCCTTTTTCTTTTTGCTCCTTCATCAACGACGCCATCATCATCACCCTCATCCATCACCCTCACCCTCTCTCTTATACCCGTCGATCGGAAGAAGTTGGTAGAAGCATGAAATCGGAAGGCGTTGGGAGCAGATTGCACTTCCGCCCGCCCCCTGAAGAGGAGGGAAGAGAGAACGCCGCTCGACCCTTGAACTAGGAAGGCGCCTAAAGTAGATCGGGAGCTGGGCATCCCAAAATACCGATTTTCAACCACCGATGAACACTTTTTGTTGCTCCTCTATCAGCGGCGCCATCATCCATCATCCTCGGCGCTCATATGGTGGCAGACATGTATGTTTGTGGCCGAGGATCTGCATTGCAGTGCCCAGAGGATCGTCGCCCCAGGGTATTATCCTATCCTTAAGTATCCATCATCCTCACCCTCTTCCTCATATGCTTCGCCCTTCCTCCCCCAGTGGTGTACTGAGGTAGTGCGGCCTGGCCAGTCTTCTGCCCCATCTTGATGTCCAGCATGCGGGCCCCCTTCTGGCCATCCTTCAAGTTGCGCATGACCTCGCCGCTCTTTCGGCGAACAAGGGCGGGTGTGAGGAGGAGGAGAAGGGGGAGGAGGAGGAAGAGGAGGAGGCAAGCGTAGAATGAGTCCGAGGTCCTACCATCATCGCATCGGGCTCGCCTGGAGGCCGAGTACAACCCGCTGAATTAAAAGCCTTGGCCGCAAAGCTTGCGCAAGAAGCGATGCGTGTTTCTCGTTAGGCCACGGTGCCCCAGGACAATGTTGCAGCGACCAGCTTGCGACCCTGCAAAGCGTCTATTGTTCTTTAACATGAAAACGGCCAGATTGGGGTATGGACCAGAAAGCCGCATTATTCCCAAGGGTTCCTCAGAGAACATGGTCGTCACTCAGGGCAAACAGGTGGTTCCTCGGGCAACCGAAGAGTTGTGGTTTCGCGTGGAACTTCCTCAACCAAAGAACTCGCTGGTCCGTGACAGTGACGATTTCACTCGAGACGTCCTGGAAGCCACATTTCTTGTCACATTCCATGTCGCCAGAAAGGGTCGATTCTGTCTGGGCACCGTCAAAACACCGATGATCGATAATGGATGAAAAGATCGCAGATCCAAAACTCCACGCTCAGACAGGACACGATGGCTGGTCAACCAGCCGTCCGAGATGGTTCTATCCAGACCCAGGTCCAAGAAGCAGAACACTCCGAAAGGTCGCTTTAGTGAACTCAGCTCCCCATCCAAGACACAGAATTCTGAATCCCGCTCAGGCCACCACTCCTCCTCCTTCGCCTTCTCCTCCTCCTCTTCCTCCTCCTCCTCCTCCTCCTCCTCCTCCTCCTCCTCTTCCTCCTCCTCCTCCTCCTCCTCCTCCCCCTCCTGCCCTGACTGACAGCGCCCCCGAGCTGGAGGCCGCCGCGGCCGCCTCCCGCGAAGCACGAGGGGACGGTCCGATTGCTTAACACCCTTGCCGCGGTGAAGCGCTGCAAGCACGCAGTCGCTCGGGAGGGATAGAACCTACGCGCACGGAGGTGCATTGGAGGTCGCTGGGGGGGCAGCGATGTTTTCGACTACACGCCAGAGCGACCCTGGGTAAGGTGACCTTTGGTGCGCGGCCTTGTGGGGGCCGCGGGGGGGACCAAACACGAGCGCGCAAGACGCTACAACCGCATCACACTCGGCGATCGGGGGGCCCCATTGGGCCCGCACCAAAAGTCACTCCGGTGAAGGGTTACTCTTACGTGTAGTCGCTCGGCCGGCGCGCTTGATCCCAGTACGCTCGGCCGGCGCGCTTGATCCGGCAGCAGCAAGCCTTGCGTCACCCACTCGCAAGAAGCTCGGCTCTCAGGTTTGATTTTACCGACGATTGGGCTGCTTAGGTTTGCTCTTTCTCTACGAGCATCACCCCCTTTCTCCGTCGCCCCCAAAAAAAACAGATCGCGCTCGCTGCCCCTAAACAAACTTCAAGAGGTACATTCTCCATGTCGGCGCTCGGCGCTGTCCGTCCGGCAAGGCAAAAATTCGGGAACACGAGGGGTTCGGACCCCTCCAGGGTCCAGGGTCCCTGACATGGACGGGGTCGGCGCTTTCTTCCGAAACACCGAAAGCAGCACATCATGTTGATTCTAATCGACCGAAGGTTTTGCCAGCGTTCATGTACAGCCACTCGGAGCAACCAGAACAAGGGCGGAAAGGACCCGCCACCTCGTGCGGGCCGCGATCGCAAAAGATTTTGGAGAAAGAAGGACGAGAGTGCGGGACCTTGACTTCCGGTGTCATGATTTTTAACAACGCGGACCCCCGGAGGTCTAGAGACTGGACATCTTACCCGCAACCGCCTTGTGATCCTTCGCCGTGTTTGACCATCGCGGGGTCCGGTGAGGGCCCCCGTCTTCCGAAAACGACGAAAAATCATCCGCCATGATCTTCTCACCGCGCGTGGAAGCGGGGGAGACGGGAAGGCTGCGAAGGAAGACTTGGCTGCCTTTCGATTCGGAGGACCTACCTTAACTCGGGGGCGCGCAAACATGGATCAGCGATCCACGGATTAGGCGCGCGGTCACCAAATCCCTGGATCGGGGGAGGTGCCCTCCCCAAAAGGCGGCCAGTTCCGCCTCGTTCGGCGGCTGAGATCCGCGATTCCCCATGGAAACGGGACCCGTCCCTAATCCACGCCCCGAAATCCATGTTTGCGATCGCCTGATTAACCGCGGATGCCACGTCGGCGAGCAGCTGTCCCCCTGGCTCCTTGCACCGCCCCCAGCCCCAGAGGGAGGGAGAGATGAAGAGGAGGAGGATGAGGAGGAGGAGGAGGAGGAAGAGGAGAAGGAGAAGGAGGAGGAGGAGGAGGAGGAGGAGGGACGCTGCTACGTTTCTAGCTCTAGGGAAAACGGGGCCAGAGCCGGCGGGACGGCGCAGGCGAGGCTGAGCAGCGCCGCAGAGGAGAAGGAGAAGAAGGAGGGGGGAGGAGGACGAGGAGGGGGAGGCGAGGCGAGGCGAGGGCGCCAGAGTCGGGCACACAGATGTACCCGTGCCCTTTTGGGCAGGGCGCAAGAGGCCGTGGCCTCAGATCGTGTCCGAATAGACGTCGTGGACGAAGTTCCTCAAGGACCCGTGCACGAACCAGGCAAGGAACGATATGCGTGCGAGCCGGGAGAAGTAGAAGGCGTGACAGAGGATGTAGGATGTTCATGAACCTGGTCAGGATCGAATCGGCGTGGTCGGTGTCGTGGCTGCTCCTGTTGATGGTCGTCGGTAGTCGGTGCTGTATGCTGGTGTCGCTGCTGCGTTGCTGTTGGTGTTGCCGTCGGTGTCGCTGTCGGCGTCGCTGTGTTAATGTCGATGTTAATCGGTTGATTGGAATCGTCAGGGGTAGAAGTCTCATTTAAGAATTCCAATGGTTCCGTGTCTGTGTCGTCCACAGCGGTCACCATCACCATCACCGTTTTACCTTCACCGTTTTGGCACCAGAATTGCCCCATCCACGGCATATATCATCATCATCGGTGGTGTAGTCGGCGTTCCTGTATATTTGGTGTTGTTGTGCTGGTGGTGGTGGTGGTGGTCATTTGGCGTCGGCGCTGGAGGTCAGGAAAAGTTATTGGTGCAATTGGCGTCGGGGAGTTTGCGCCCTCAGCTGTTGTATGCAGTGAAAGCGCTCTCAAGAGAGTCCACCATGTGGTGTCTGTCGCGGCTTTCAACCATCTCACGTCGTTACTGTCGTAGTGGAGATATCGTCGTGGATGGATGGCGCCGTTGGTGTCGCTGTCCGTGGCTTCGTCCCTCGTGTTCGCGTGCAGGCTTGCCAAAACCTTCCTTACGTCGTCGTCCCATCTTTTCTTTTGGCCTCCGTGCTGCCGGTGGCCTTGCTGTTTTGCGTCGAGGCTGGGGTTCCAATTCAATACACGGTGTGTCCATCGGTTCTGCGGGTGGCTTGAACCGAGTGTGGCCCAACGCCAGACTTTTGCGCGATGTATCTGTAGTACGCCGGGGATGTCGTGCTTGCTCATGAGTTCCTCAGCCCTACGTGTGCTCCGGCGGATGAAGTCCGACCACAGCTCGTCTGTCGTCTGCTCGTGGGTCTGGCGTGCGTCATTGTTGTCTTCTTGTGAGCTGGTCTGTTCTGATGGGGAGGGGGGGGTGCTGGATGCGCCGTGGTCGCTGGAGTCGTCAGGGTGGACGCTGTCTGCGACGTGGTTACTTTGCCTGTCTGCTGTTGGTGCGGCGTGCGTTCGTAAGGTGAAGTTTGTGCGCCTTCTCGGAGTTCCGATGATCGCCCGAACCATCCGTCGTTGAGTGCGGCGTAGCTGTTGTCGGAGTGGCTCTGTCAAGGTCCACTCTTCCGCGCCGTATGTCATCGTGGGAATGACGGTGACTCGGTAAAGCCTGAGCCTGTGTTTGAGTGGATAATGCTTGCTCGTCAGTTCTTGTCTGTGGACTGTGAGGCATGCCCACGCAGCTTGGATCCTGTGTTGGATCTCGGTCGCCGCGGCATCTTGGAATGTAACCGTCTGGCCGAGGCATGTCAACTTCCCAGTGTGAGGAATTATTGTAATGTCCATGTTTGCGACGCTGGTAGACCGAGTCCGGGTCTTGGTTTGGTTGGTAATGATTTGTTTTGGACGGGTGTATTTCGAGGCCGTGTGGTTTCGCTGCTGTGACCAAGTCTGCTAGTAGAGTCCTCAGGTTGGGTAGCGTTTGGCTAACTAGCAAAATGTCGTCGGCGAAGCGGAGGTTGGTGAGAACAAATTGGCTGGCGTGCGCCAATTGGATTCCTTTTCGTCGCCGCTGCCATTCCGGAATGAGTGGTGCTAGAACGTGCTGTAGAAGGGCGTTGAAGAGCAAGGAACTTAAAGGGTCTCCTTGCTTCGTGCCGCGTCGTAGTTTGAACGGCTTACTCGTGGAGTCGGTGCGTGCTACGGCCTGTTGATCGTGGTAGAGGCGTTGGAGTAAGTGGACGTAGTCGGGCGACCCGCCCTGGTGACGCAGTGCTGCCCATAAGCTGTCGTGTTCCACTGTGTCGAATGATTTGTTGAAGTCTACTGCTGCGATGCACAGAGCCTGGATCCATTCAGAAGCCCATTCCCGCAAATGTTAAGTGTGAAGAAATGGTCGCGCGTGCCGCGCCCAGGTCGGAAACCTGCTTGGTCAACGGGCTGTTGTTGATCAAGTACTTGTGAAAGCCGGTTGTATAGCAGGCGGCTGAACAGCTTGTAGAGCATGGGTATAGTACATATTGGGCGGTTGTTCTGCGGGAGAGAGAGAGAGAGAGAGAGATCGCCCGATTGGGAATGACTGTAATCACCGTCTTCCGCCAGCTTGCTGGAGTCGGGGCGTTTGGCTGGATGACCGCGTTGTACAACTGTAACAAAGCATGTTGTAGTTCCCGGCATGGGTTTTTAGCATTTCGGCCTTGATTCCTACGTCGTCGTGTGACTTGCCAGTCTTGAGCTGCGAGATTGCTGATTTGAGCTCTTCGGCCGTGAAGGGTGAGATGTGGCTCTGGATGT